TTCAAAAAACATCCAGAATACCGCTTGAAAAAAAACAAGTTTACATTATCTTCTTTTGAAACATCACATCCAAGTATCGTTTTGGCTTTTAGAACTCTCCGGAGTATGCTTTCAAGTTTCAACTAAAGCAAAGTTCACACTTTTGTTTCAAAAAAGAGTTCCATATAAAACACAACGTTCGTTCATATTTTGAAGTCACACGAGTTTTAGTTTACATATATACGAAGAACGTAACCCCCGGAAATAAAACCCTAGGGAGCCACCTTAAACGAAGTTTTAAGTATAGTGGTGCAATGCTGTGGAATAGTCTTCCTTCTGAGGCGAAAAAGGCATCCTCGCTTTACCAATTTAAACGCAGTATGTCCACTATACCAGAGACAAGAATGTGAGTTAAAATAGTTTGTACTGTAAGTATAACACGCTCCATCTGAAAATCAACACATTGTATTTTACAACTATGTTGTGTATGGCTAGTGTGGTTAAATAAATTTGTAAGTAAGTAAGTAACTTTTAAATGAATCAAATTATGCAAAAAAATAGAAACCGAGGTGGAAATTGGTCCTAGCCCCTAGGGGTGTTTTAATGTGATATACTTGCCTTTGCTGTGGTGAAGTCAACAACTTTCTTTGTGGTTAGATCACACTTATTTCCAACAAGTAATTTGTTAACATTCTCACATGCGTAGCGATCTATTTCTTGCAACCATTGTTTCACGTTGTTAAATGATTCCTGAAAAATTAATATTTGTTAGTAATGTACAATGTCAGAAATATTTATTTTGCTATTGGGCAAAATTATGTGTAGAGTTGATTAACAAATTTATACATATGTGAATTTGAAATTCGTTTCATGGTGTCAAGAAGATCAAAGCCTCAGGAATAATGACATCAGGCTTAGAAAATATATTTTTTTCAAGAATAAAAATTTCCTGGGTAAGTCAGTATAAAAATTCATGTTAGGTAGATTTCACTGCCAGGATTTTTTAACTAAATACCTTTGCAGGTAATTTTCTTACATTTTCCAGGAAATTTTGTCATCTTATATGGTGGAATGCCATATAGTTTACTTTGTGTTTAAAAATTCGTAAAGCGTTTTACAAGTAGAAATTGTCTTGTGCCAAGATGTGCGGCACCAATATAGTAGTGCTGCTGGACGTTTTCCAGCACTGAATGACATTTACAAAGAATAATACAACCTTTTATTTTGGATTACCTGATCAGTGACATCATAGACAATAATAATTCCATGTGCGCCTCGATAGTAACTAGATGTTATTGTCCTAAAACGCTCCTGTCCTGCTGTGTCCCACTATAACATAAATAGAAATATATATAATGACACCATCCAAGTCATCATCATCTACCACTGTTAGGATGGATTGAGCAAAACTCCTCTCATGACTAGTAAAAACATCAGGTGTTAGACAGAGTAAAATAATAAAATTGGCTGCATTGCAGCCTAACATAGGCGTACCGGGCGGGGGGGCGGGGGGGGCGGCCGCCCCCCCAGTTTTTTGGGCAGTCGGGCAATATTCGATTAACAGTCGGGCAATTTTGGGTAGTAAAAAAAAAAATCGGACAAATTATGTAATTTTTTCAAAAATTTAGTCAATTTTGGGGCAAATGTATTTTTTGGGAA